AGAAATTCTTTTCTTAATGTTTTTGTGTATATGTATTTTTCCATCTTGTGTATTACTGAAAAAATCTTGAATGTGCTTCAACAATATATATATATATATATTAGATATTTATGCATTGCATACTGAGTCAAAACTTAACAGAAAAAATTCTTAAATTAAGAATTAAAGATAAACAGTAAACACTTTAAACATCTTGGGTATTATAAACTGATTCCCGTTTATTTCTTATTGTTTGTTTTGAAAAAGTGATTATATTTCTCTTATTTTTTGTTTTGTTTTAAAATATCTTGTTAAAAATTAGTTTTCCACTGAACTATTCTGGCATTCAATAAATTTTTAATATGTATCAATCTCATTTTTATATTTTCACCATTTAGTACTATTTAATATGTAAACAAGATTTAAATACATTTTCAAAAGAATGCAGGACAAAAGTATCCACAAAATCTGGTATTTTGACATACTAATACATTCAGTATATTCATTACCAAATTGGATTGTTTTTTTTTTTAAATTTCAAGAATACCTACAATGCTAGTTTATCTTGACCTACTTTGTCATTGAAGTATATATTCGAAGCATAAAAATGATGTGATGTGTGGCAAAATGCAACAAAACCATGTAAATGTGACAGATTAAAGACATGGATAGTCACAGAAGAATAAAAACTCACAAATAGCAAAAATGGTTTAGGCATAGCTACATCATATCTTGCAGTAATGGGATGTGAGTTCAAATCTAACTTAAAATTACTTTGTTCCATATCCCCAAAGTATAATTATGTATATATTGGAAATTGTTTTTAATTATTTAAAAATTACAAATGCAGTTTTTGGAAAGAAAATAAAAGATTTATTGCTAAATACATTTCTCTATTTCCATGTATACTGACTGAAAATTGAAATGAACTATATTTGTTTAATAGCTTCTAAAAACAAAAATGTATTGAAGGAAATATGTGTCAGTATTTGATTATGATTTCTCATGAAGTGATTTCCCAGTAAATTGGGAAGAAACTAGGGATACTGGTAAATGATCACCTGAAATGTGTCTAAAAGTATCAAAATAAATTGCTTTGAATATTAATAGAAATCCTGAAATTCTAGCATTTGAATACAAAATGACGGTTTATTTTCCTAAGATAAAAAATATTAGTATTTTTTTTAATATTAAAGTGTATTTTTTAATACTAATGTTCACCTTATACAAGGCCTAAAAGTAAAGTTTTATTGAAGGAGGTTATATTGAACAGTAAGAAGTGCAGTTTATAAAGATTTTAAAAAGATACGTTAACCCTACCCCTGAAAACGTTAAGATTGTAGTGGTTGGGAAAGCATCATCTTGGTAGTCAGTTACACAAAGTAGCAGTTTGTAGGAACTTCCTTCTTACTAACGAAATACAAAGAGAATGGGGATGGATGGCAGGATTTAGCTGTGAGGGTTACAATTGGTAGAACTAAAGAATATAGCTCATCAGAAGATTTTCATTTTTGGCTTGATCTGACTCTTATAAAGAGCATATCAGGAAGAGTCAAGTACTTACTAGAGCGGTACAAGGAACCAACCATTTTTCCAGCATCTCTAGCAATGGATCATATATAAGAGTCCCACTTGAGGTCTTGGGAGAGCTTAAGTCCCAATAAGTATTCAAAGTAAGGGTCTGTGCCGAGAGAGAACACTCGTTTATAAATTCAGGGTCTGTTTGATAATGATGGAACATTACTAGTTTGTTTTTGAGGTATTGAATGTGACAAGCCAGTTGAGCTTGGGCAGAAGAGGCTTGTCACATTCAATACCTCAAAAACAAACTAGTAATGTTCCATCATTATCAAACAGACCCTGAATTTATGCTTGGTCATCTAGAATTTTAGAGGTGCATTTGTATCATCTGCATAGATATTCATTAAAGATTGTTAATATAAAGTAAGAAGATGGTAGGACTATAAAGTTGGATTGTAGACTCCTCACATTGCTATAGGAGATGGATGTTGTTTATATGGTGATGGGTTTTTTTTCTTCTGGTTGATTTTGTTGTGGTCATGGTAACATAAGATATTGGAAGATGAGGTATAGTGAAACTATCACACCCAATAGTTGCGTATGCATCAGCAAGCTGGATTGACATCTGGAATTACAGCTGTAACTATACGCTTTATCATAGCATCAAGAGGCCCTACCAGACACTATTGAAATGTTTACCTCCCACAACCTTAATAAAGGGGCAAATAACCCAGGAAAGATCATATGCTCATGATTCCTCGAGTGCACAAGTTTCATCTACCCAGAAAAAGTAAAATAATAGGTAGAGAGATTATTAAAACTTTTTTAAAAATGTAATTTTATGCAATGAAACAGCTAAAATAAATTTAAACCAGCTGCCATTTTGGTAATGTGCTGTTAGTGTCTTAACCAGTGAGAGTCTACTGTTGCCTCCTCCTTTACCTTTTTAAATTTTACCAATGTGACACCCAACCGTTCGCCCATGGTCATCTCCCAGTTACGGTGTGAAACTGTAATGTTTCTTCTCCAGCGTTTTGGTGTTGACTCTTTGTCACTGCCACCAGCCTGTGTCCTGGTTGATTGGTGGTCAGCGCTACTCGGCGGCGTCCCCTGGTCAGGATACCAATATGGGACACTGGCACGTAAAGGGTCGAATTCTGGTCATTGATGTTAACAACTTCATCAGCTGTACCAGTTCAATAACAGCTCTATCGTTCCCAGCTCACTTGCAACATCTGGTAACTGGAGTAACTGCTTCGATCTCAAATCTAACCTACCCACGTTGTGACTTTGATCTTAGGTAGATGAAATCAATCAGGCGTCGGGCCGTAGTGTAAGCTGAGTCCTGACTGAAGGTGGTATCGCACAAGCGCAAAGAAATAAATAAAAGAAAAACCCAAGAGGTTCAAGTATGTTAAGAAATAAATTAACTTTATCCTTCTGCTATATACAGGAGTGTTTTTCTCCCAGCCTGTTTTCTATGAAATGTGACACTTCTATGTTTCAAGCAAGTTGGTATCTTAAATCAACTGATTTAGGTGTTGGCTTGTCTTCGTTCGTCAGTATAACTTGCTATTGGTAGGATAGGCAAATTTGGAGGTCGTGGAATCTCTTGGTTCGATTCCAACACCAAGAGGACGTTCATTTATATGGATACCGACTAAAATCCGGTGCGGGGCCAGATGTGGCCTGGGGTTCTCGGTAAATCTTGATTCCCAACAAGAAATCTTTGTTGTCAGGCCAGGAAAATTGATTAATTTTCCAAAAATGGGAAATAATCGCTTTCCATTTCGGGGAGGGGGGGTCTCCCTCGTCTGTGAGGGAAGGTCGGGGGAGAGCTATCCTCCTAGACTCTTCCTCTCTCACATTGAGATCTCATACCAATCCTTTCAGTGGGCGTTAATAATTTCTCCTTCCTTCTCATCCATTCATCTCCACCTATCACCATTGTTACCACTCGACCAATGGCATCCTGGCTGTGCGGGTGTGGCTAAGCTGGCCTCCTTAAAATTATAATCTAGAATTTTTGTTTACAAGATTCTCCTTTTTCCCCCATTGGCCAAAATTTTTATGAATTCCATATGCCATGTAATTTCTATCATATCCTTTGGCCACCCAGAATGCACTTAGCCAGCCCTCTATACCGACTCCATCAATCACTGTCAAAGTTTGCCATCTGCTCCCTTCATGAAGTTAGATTTATAATAGAATCCTTGGCTTGTTGAGAAATTAAATTCTTTTATCTCGCCAAATCTCAATTCTCCACTCTATTTTCTGTCTCATGCCAAAATTTTATTAACACCATATTGCCATTCAACGTCTCAACATCTGAAGCGACACATTGATAAGGTAAATAATAACAATCCTCTCACCTATGTCGAGACAATGCCAAAAATTGCCACATTGCTTCTCCTTGCCGTGGCCAAGAAAAAAATAAATGATATCTTGGAAAGATAATTAACATTGATTCTCCCTGCCAGTATCAACAATTGTCTCATGGTCTGGCTCATACCTAAATATTTGCTTTTCCTCCTATCTCACCAGGCGAGACATTAATCAATTTGACAAGACTTCACATATGGCTTTTTCCATGGGTTTACTGTCTTTTGTGAAAAAGTATCTTTTTTGTAAATAGAACAAAATCTTTTTTTTTAACATCGATCAGTCTTTCGGGATAGCTCTTTTTTGCCTTAAGTATTTCCTGTTTTAATTTCTATGGTTAATTAGTTAGTCAATTACCATAGCTAAATAGTGTCACACCAATTATAAAGATTTTGATGATGAAATTAACAAACTGATTATAATTGTTTTCCTTTTTAACAATGTTAAATAATACTATCTCATTATAAATATATTTGATTTGTTTTCAGATTTTAGTTGTTGTTTTTCCTTTACCCTATAAGATAAAAAAATTCTTTGATATAGCTACTCCATAGAGCACCTTGTCTACCCTAGCCCCTCCCACAAAACACACTCCTCAACAGTTGTCAAAAAATGTACTACTTCAAAAGCATGCATTCTTACTAGGTATCCCAAACTGCCCTAGTATATACTCTGAACGTGTCAAAATACTGAAATTTCCTTCCTGCTGATATCTTGTCAGTGAAGCTGTTTTGATAAAATTTAATCTTCTTTAGAAAGATACAATTCTTTCTCATAGTTTTTATTCCACATCTCTTTAAATTGTCATTATTTCAATGATAGCTGGCACTTTTTGCATTTTGAAGTTGACAATTTCATAGTTGTTTTTAAAACCTGTTGCACTCAGTTGTGTCTCCCTACACATATCAAAATAGTCCCACCTTAAAGGAAAAAGGATTCTTGTCAATTTGTTTGAAAATATAGGTTTTATTGATTCACTTTTGTGTTTGTGTGTGACAATTGTAAAAAAATCAAAATCAAATAATCAGGTAAACTGGAATTAAAAACGAAGCTGAAATATCCTACAAATTGGGTCAGTTTTAAAGAATATTAGATTTCATAGAATTTTTAAATATAAACTATGGTCCAGATAGAATCTGAATTGGCTTAGCTTTTTGTGCCCATTCAGTCCAGGAGCCATCATAGACAGCAACATCTTCTTTACCACACAAAAAAGCAGCCAGGCTAATGCAGCAAGCAGTCAAACCTAGAAGAGAAAAAATAAATAAAACAAAATTTCAGATAATTCTTGGAAACTAGAGTAATTTTAGTTTCAAATTTGAGACTGATGTATAATCTTTTCATAACAAAACAATGTAGCTTTATCAGTCATACTCATCATCTACTCTATTTGAGATAATGAGGAGCTCAGGTTGTTACATAAGTTTGTTTTTTTTTTTGTTTTTTTTTAAATACTTATTTATTAATAGTTCTAATGAATCATTCAACAGTGTATTCTCCTTAATTGTTTATGAACTACCAACGATCCATTAACTGTTCAATGCCTCAACAATAGAAATCATTAGGTTTTGACTTGAAAAATTCATCGGCCACATTTTAAGCTCTACATTGTTGTTGAACAAAATACCACTCAAATTGTTAGAAAGCGACAGAAAAAGATGGTAGTCTGAAGGGGCTAAATCAGGAGAATAGGGTGGTTGTGGCAGAAATTCTAAACCGAGCTTTGTAACCACGAGTAGCCTGTTGTCGAGTGAGTAAACTGGAAACAATGGAGGAGTGATGGAGTTTGTTTCTCTTGGTCAATGTATGTGACACCCATGAACTTCACCGATTAGAGTGAAGATGACCTGCAACAGTAACAGGAGAGCTTGCCATCTTCTGTACCAATTCCCTAGTGGTTTGGTGCAAGTTTCTTCTTTAATCAGCATGTGCAATTGTTTCTCATTCAACTGAACCAGTCAGCCAGAATACAGAGAGTATTCTGTGAGCGTGAGAGCGAGTTCAAACTTCCTCTCTTTCAAACAGGAAAACCATTTGTGCCATTCTATTCGTAATGAAGTCATTTCCGTATACAGCATAAATGTCTCAAGCAGTTTTGTGACTTTGATTAAAAACAAAAAAAGATGTCGAACATGCTCTGCTTATTCTTGTCTGATTAACATTCCATCTCAAAGAGGTGTCTAATTTGAAATAAAATTTCCATAGATTTAAACAAGTTTCACAAAATGACCAGAGTTACTAAGAAGCAAAAATTTGCAGAACATCAGAAAAAAACAAATGAACGAATATATGTAACAAACTTAGACATTACTTTTCATTTATTTTGTTTTTGGCCCTGTTCAACATTTGAGATGAAATGCTTAGCTTACAATATTGACAACATTGAGAATTCTCAAGAAGAGTAATTGTAAAAATTTTTAACTTACACAACTGTAATTAAGTAATTCAAATCTCTTACCTGTTCCACAGGAAGCAAACAATGGTTGATTTAAATCCACATTGTTTTCTTGAAACAGTTTAATCAACTGATTTGTGTCCATGATAGTCTTTGTTGAAAGGTCCATGATACTTTGAAATGGAATATTACGAGCACCAGAAAAATGCCCAGATCTTATACCTGAAATTAAGCATGTAAACAATGAAAATTAATATATTTCTTTCACAGTAATTTCATTATTATACTGATTTTACTAGGAGGTAATTCCCCTGTACTATGTCATTTGTAACCAGTATTCAATGTCTCTAAAATTGTTCTTGCAAAACCTTATCAAATATATATTAAAAAAAAAAAAAAAAAAAAATTTTTTTAAAATGTTAAAATTCAAGCGACATAATTTTTTCATAATAACCTGATAAAACTGAATTTATCTATGTAAAACATTTTTGAAAAATATTTTTTTTTTAAATTATTTCATTTCAAGCAATGCATTGCTGAGTGTGAAAGAATGAGAAAATGAAAACATTAATAAGGAGAAAGAACAATAAAAGGACAGGAATTAAGATAAAAGAGTGAAAGAATGTGAGAAAATCATTGTGAAGACAATAAAAGAACAGGATAAGGACTGATTTTGCATTTACATTTTTGAAGATCAAAGTTAGCTGGAAAGTGAGAAGTGCGAGAAAAGATAAGTTCACCTTATTGTTCAGTTCACCCTCCTCCCCAGTCTCTTGAACAGGAGTAAAGGTTTATCCCTGGTTTCCTCTTTCGGATTGGGTTACTGGTTCCGTCTAAAGTCTTCTCATTCTCTTTCACTCTCAGTAGCCCCTTGCATCTTAGTGGCATTATCACCTTACTTGGGGTAAAATGATAATAATAAAAAAAAAAAATCAAAAAATATATTATGGTTACAACTAACCATTTCAACAGTAAAATGATGAAACATTGCTGACAATCTAGGCAGCAAGGTTTCACATTAGTACTGCACTTGAATTTGTAAAGGTGAGGTACCAAAGAAGAAGGCTTATCAGAACAATTACCATGAAAATATTTATTAAAAGTCCCAGGGAAGCTATGCTTTATCACTCAGTGGGAAAGTGACTGAAGCCATGATGCAATGTCAGGACTTATAACATTGCAGATTCTTTTTATTTTATCACTTGATTGATTTGTTTTCTACAGTTTATCAACCCATTGCAGGCTATTTAAAGCCAGAAAATATTTTTAGATTGTAAGAATTTTTTTTTTTTTTTTGAGATAATGATTTGTGTAGAAGAAATACACTTGCCTTCAAAAAGATTGAAGGCATGTACATTCTGATGCCAATGGTTTCATGCTACAAATAAAAGCTGGGGCAAGCTCATTTCATCATTTATAAAAGAAAAGGGTTAATGGAATAGCCCTGATGTGCTACCTATGATGTTGATGGAATAACTAGACGCTCTGGCTACAGATTACCTATGAATGCAAATAAAGCCAGTGGAAGTGAAATAAGCTGAGTAGGTGGATGAGCGGATCTGTGTCTATTTAGACTTTAGGCACTGTGAATTTGTGACAGTTTACTACAAACAATTTTGGCTATCAGATGGTGGACAAAAGTTTCAACATCAAACTCCTGGAATTTAATGGTTCACATTATGGGAATATCAATAAAAGAATGGATTGAGAAATTTGAGCTGGTGTGTGATCTCGCCAAGGTGAAAAGAGTAAACAAAGTCATTTCATTACAACTTACTGGTGGCACATTTGCAGTATACCAACAGCTATGTGCAAAGGCATGAACTGACGTGGACTAGATAAAGTATACCATTGTTGAGGTGTTTGCCACTGACTCCTTTATAGCCTACAAATGGTTTACTATGCAATGCTTGTACAAAGGTGAAACAACACATGTTTATCTAGGAAAGTTGCACAGCTATCACAGTTATTCAGTGGCATTCTGGAGCAAACTCATGTTAATTAAGCAGCTCCTTCGCACATCTTCATACATGGAGACAATGGCCTGAGATCAAATACTAGCTCAGGTCAAGGCAATCATGAAAGACAAAACTTTGGCAAATGAACTGGCTGCAACTGCTGTGCAACTACCATACAAAGACAGTGAATCATGTTGCACAGAGAATCGCCTAGAAAAAAAAATGGCGTGCTGAATAACCTGGCAAGAGACAGTCATTGAGGAGAAGCAAGCATATATTGTTGTCAGAGAAAGTTTGAGCAATTGCAATGCTATCAATATGACTAATTAGATCAATTGGTCCAAAACTGCTTGGGAAATGGATTAGGGAATAAGATGTCAGCTCCAATCTCTTCTCCCAAAAATATCTATATATGACACTACCCATAAATGGAGGTGCATGTTGATGGAATACAGTGCGCAGCGTCAGTGGACACTGGCTGCTCTCGCGCACACATGAGTAGGTCAGTTTGTAGTCTTTGGAGGAAAAGGGAGGTTAAGGTTCTCACAGTGGACAGAAAGACCCTGAGATGTGGAGTTCAGCTAAGTGTGAATCTGGTTACAGTCTAAATGTGGGTCGTGGAGGGAAAACTACATGATTTCGACCTTCTGCTGGGGATGGATGCCACCAAAGCATTAGGCTGACTTCACATTAATTGAACAAGTTAAGTGTGTTTCACCATGGATGGCATACCTGTCTGTGCAGCACTCAAAATTGATGAACCTGATTTCAGCAACTTCTAACCAGCAGAAGCACGACATTTACACACACACACTATATATATATATATATATATATAATGTAAGGATCCAGAGCATTTAGAGTGTATGGGTGTTGGATCTGCAGGTCTAGAGTGGGGGGAGAGCATAGTAAGTTCCAATGGAAACACTATTCCAGAAATCCCCAATGTTATCACAAGATAAAATGTCTTATCTGTATATGGAAAGCTCATGGGACATTTTTCCTATGCGTGGTTGGTTTTGCATGGATACATTCATCAAACGCAGTTACCCCAGGATGGGGGTGACGTAACTGATGATCCCTATGTGAAGACCATGTTAGAAGACACCATCATGTTTACTCTTTTCACCTTGCAGAGATCACACATCAGCTCAAATTTCTCAATCCATTCTTTTATTGATATTCCCATATCTGAACCATCAAAAGCAACCCAGTGCAAGCTACCAGGTGTGTGAATGCCTATGAGATCAGTATCTGCATTGATAAGAGTTCCTTAGCCACTGGGGTCTCAGATCTGCTATTGAGGATGCGTGCTGGTTGCATCCAGTGAATGACACGCAGTACATGAACCTAGCTGAATTAAGTGCAACGCTAAAGGACACTAATCTTACTCTCCAATGGCAGACGACTGTAGTGAACTTGTTAACTGATTCTGCGTGCTCACATAAATGGATTTCTGATATTATAAATGGAAAGGCCAGGTTTCACACTAAAGCTGCAATCAAAGATGCTCATACAACAATGGTTCAATACATTCATAGAGCTTGTTAAGGAGTACAGACTGTAAGTGTCCAATGAGCAAGTCTGACCACAATCAAGCAAACTGACTAGGGTCCCACAATGTTGGCTTGATACCATCAAGAAATGAAGTGAGCCTTTGAAACTTTTATGTGTTGTCTCCCTAGAAGCGCTAACTCCTCACCAGATAATAGCCATCCATTATCAGATTGGTCATCCCCGGGTGAGACGGACATGGGATTTTGTACGCCAAGCCAGCCCATCTATGTCAAAAAGTGCCTTAGGACTGTAGTCGAAAAAATGTAAAGTGTGTCAGTCTATAGACCCTTCCTCAGTACACTGGCAATGTGATCAGTTAGGTGTGAGAGATACCTGAAGTAGAGTAGGCATGGATATCACCCATTACAGGAGCAAACATTTCCTCACTATTATTGACTGTGGTCCCACCTGATTTGCAGTGACCACTGCCTCAACAAGACTCCTCAAGCAACATTCTCCAATTGGAGGCAATGTTTTTTGAGTGAGGTCCACCAGAGGCGATTCTCACAATGACACCACTTTCTGTAGTAGACATGTCAAGCATTTTCTAGATGAGTGGGAAGTTCAACTTCAGTTGTAATGTGCATAGATGCTATCAGGCATGGCAAAGAGTGTGAAGAAGATTGTGGCCAGGAAGGCATGTACTGTAATGAAAGTTGTGTACTGGTATAATGTGATGCCAGTTTCATGAGGAGGTATGCAGGCCATACACTATTAGAGATCCTGGTCGATGGAATTTCCTTCCCACTTTCAGGGGAACTTCATTGACAAACAGCAACAGCAGTGATGAATCTTCTGACAGTGGGATGCTGCTCCACTGCAGGCCATGCATACCCAATGGTCCTCCTGACAACCTACCTACTAGTCCTAGCATGTCAGACAACTCATCTGAAGAAAATTGTACTATCTCTCCTTATAGAATTATGTACCAAAGAAGGCCAGGAGTAAGGTAGACTTCTATGGAAGAGTCAAAGACTGCCTCGCCTACAATGAAGCACACAGCAAAAAGAGTCAGCACATGGCTACCATTTTTGTGAACAAGAGATCAGGGGGTAGTGTATAGAAGAAATACTCTTATCTTCAAAAAGACTGAGGATATATGCATGCTTGATGATATTAGTTTTTATAAACTGGGGCAGACTCATTCCATCGTTTATAGAAGAAAATAGTTAATGGAATGGCCCAAATGTGCTACCTACAGAGTTGAGGGAATAGCCAAGTTGTTCTTGCTACGAATTACCTTTGAATTCAAATAAACTTAGTGGTAGTGAACAAGTGACAGAAACTGATGCAATGGACGAGCAGATTTGTGACTATTCGGACTTTCAGCTCTGTGAATTTGTGACAGTTTACTACATGATACAAGTTTTACTAATTAACCCATAGCCGTGGGAGAAAAGGTGGATTCATAATTTTTGCAAGTGTATTTCGTTTGGTTTGTTTTGTTTTATGGCATATCAACCGTAATGGGTCATTTAATGCAAACAACTTTTTTTTCTTAAACGATAAATTCACAAAAAGCCATGTGGCAAACTTTTAACAATTGATTTATGATAATTGTAAAAAAAACATGAAATAGCCAAAGAGTGCCCGAGATATCATTTGAAATTGCCAGATTTTAAAAGTTGGCCAAGCCACGGGGGCCATGTGTGGTTTGTAAGTCAAAAAAGGGAATTTCATAAACAACCTTGATAATTTTGGAATTCA